AAGCAGTAACATAAGAATTGGTGAGTTGTGGTGTTTTCATGACTGAATCAATAAAAGGGGGGGGGGAAATGTCGCAAGAGTTTTACACAATTTTAAAGTGTGACAATTTGAAGGATCAAAAATAAGGGAATAAAAATAAATTTTCCTCTCAAATAATAATTTGCTTATTAACGCCTATAGTTTAAAACCCCTGCAGTTTACTATTTAAGAAATAAACAATTTCTAAAACTTGAAAAAAAATGTATCAAGGATAACGACCAATTTCAAATGCCATTTTTTTATTGTAAGTATTACAAATGTAAATTTTAAATAGGAGCCATTAGTTTTAATATGACGCAGAAGTTTTCAGGTTTTGAAAATATTTGTGATATCAAACGCTTTGTTGAATCATAATTTTCAAAGCGGAAAGGGTCGCATACAATTTTTCTTCGAGAGAAATAATTTTCTCAACAAGACCCATTTTTGTTTAACATCTGCTTTCGAAGAGTTTAAAAGTATTATAAACAGACGCTCAAAAGAATAGACACAGACAGAAAGAGACTAGAAATTAAAAGGAACATTTTTTACCAATTTTACTGGTAATGTGTTAAAAATGATTAAATCAACATAAAATCAAATTATTTATATTTTAATAAAAGAGCAAAAAACTTTTCAAATCTAGACCATTTAAATTTTCTGCATTCAACAGATTTTTCCGTGAGAAAAAGTTTTTCATTTTTGCTTGTGCACTTATAAAAAGGGCATCTAAAAAAGCTATACTTTTTTAAGAGGGAATTAGCAAGAATAACATTTCATATTTTATCCTTTTTTTTTTTTTTTTTTTAAATAAGAGAATAAGTGAAATATAATAAGGACAACAGCAAAATAATATCCTTGAACTATTTATTATAAAAAAGATTTATACAATGTTTTGTAATAAAAATTCCTTTATTTTTTTTTTGCTTAAATTAATTGTGGTCGCTGCATTTTTGATAAGATAAAACCACACTTAACATAATAAGATGAGGCCACTATAGAAGTTGTTGTTCTTTATTAACTTATTTTTTTTCTATCTTATTTTTTCAACTTTCTTCCATTCTAGCTTTAATTTAGTTGCAAAAAAATCAGTTTTGGTTTTTATTTCATAGTTTGAATAAATTTTAATGAAGAGAGTTATAATTTAATTTTAATTATAAATTTAAATTTTCAACGTTATTTGATGGTCTTCATCAAAATATACAAACTTATAATAATAACAAATTGGAACAATAGCAGGCAAAATTTTTACACCATGCAAGATAAAAAGATGAATATTTCTATACAATTATATTTTATAATAAAGTCGTTATTTCTTCAAAAAATATATTTTTTCTTATCAACCCAACCTTCCGATTGCTAGTTTTGTCAAATACACATGCCAGCCGTCTGTCGAAGTTCCAAATTAACCGATATTTGAAACTAGTTTTAAGTTAATTTTCGCAAAGTAATATTTCTCCCACGCGGCAACTTCGGATATGCTTTACATTTTAATAGTTTATCGATAAATATTTTATTTGAGTAGAACAAAATATATTTGTAATTCCTTCACGTCCCAAGTTATTATTTCTTAACCTGTTAAGCGATTGGTTTTTCGTAGACAGCTCGATTTACTGTGCTGAATTAATTTCAAGGGAAGACGCCTATTTACGAAATTTTATTAACAGAGAAATTTTCGTTTTTTGCTTAACTTTAAATTTCTTGGCAAATGCAAATTTTCTTTTTCGGCATGACGCACATATACGACGTTAACTAAAAAATGAAATTTTGAAAGTGACGCATATATACGACATAATTTCTTAACATTTTAAAAATATGAAATATATAATGTATTCTATAAGCTTTATCGAACTTTTATGAAAGCGCAAAAATCTAACAAAGATAGTTTTCTTACCCAAAACTGTTCCTTTTACGCCTTTACTTATTTAATTAGCTTAAAAATTCAAGTTTAATATTTTAAAAATATTTTTAAAATTATTACTTTAAGAATTCTCCTAAATTTATGCAAAATTATATGGTTATAAGAGAACATTATTGAGAATTGAAGCTCTAGGCTTTAATTGTTTAAGGAAAATATGCCACTTTTACAAACCATAGGTTTGATCGACAATGTTTTTTGTTATTTGTTTTTACCATTTTATCCAAGAGTTTCACAATGTTGTGTCACTATATAAATGTCGGAAAGTCAAAGCTATAATTACGTTATAAATATTTTTTGGGCTAAACTGTCAGGAAACTGTGTGAAAAATGAGTGAAAAGTTTTAATAATTTGATTGAAAAAATATAACGCAAAAAAGTGAAATAGAGAATTTTGCATTCTCATGTTGTCATGTAAGACTGTAGTTTTATTTTGGTGTTTGAACTTTATAACATCAACTATGTATGTACCAAAATATGCAATTATGAAAGAAGCCATCCAGTTCTTTTTTCTTGTATTTCAAAAATAAACTAAAAAAAAAATCCATGGTTTTCATTTCGTTTTTAATTGTAATTCCAAATGACAAGCAATTCTGGTTTTCAGATTGCATTTTTGTTTTTTTTTTTTTGGTTTTTTATTTTGTCGCGATCTGCCATTGTCAATTTAATTCAGTAGCATTCTTCTCTCTGGTATTATTTTCACTTGTAACAAGTTTGGTGAAAAGTGCAAAGGAATTTTCGAAAAACGCAAAAACAAACCATAAAAAAATTTGGTACTTAGTATAGAAAGAAAAAGTTTTTGACTTTTAGTATGAATCCTTTGTTTACCACAACAAGTAACGGAATAATATTTTCTTGCTCTTATTTTTTTTTTCTCTTTCTCACACTATACGGTTAACTGTTAAAATATTTTTTAGGTTAATGTTGTTATTTAATTTTATTGTGGTTTTTTTGTTGAAATTTTTGTTTTCCACAAATAAACAAAAAATATTGGAAAAAGATGCAAAAAGAAGGAAACGGAAATATTTTTTATGACTTTATAGTTATACTTGAACTTACCAGAAAAACAAAACTGAATATAAATAGTAGAAATTTAGATTTGAACAATTTTATATACATACAAGCAGACATACGTATTTGCATTAGAGAATTGGAAGCTAGACAAAATCTTTGAAAATTTCATTTTGGTTTTTCAGAAATATATTCAAGATATGTTTGTAAAGATTTCAACTTTAGAAACGAAATTGTTGATATACGTGAAATATCTAATTTAAAGTGATAATTAAATAGATAGGAGAAGTATGGTAGAAAATTAAGCATTTCGGAGCCATTAGCACTTTATTTTGGTTGCTATTCATACAAAATTTGAGAGAAAATTTTTTAAATGAACAAGCCAATTTCCAAATGAACAGTTAAATATTTCTAATAGCCTCTTTTTTTAAGGTCAAAGCCATAATATATGAACTAAGTTACTTATATTAACTGTTTTCTAAGATTTTTTATTTGGACTAAATGTTACTTTTAGTATCCATTTCTTTTACAATTCATAATTATTTTAATTTTCTCGTCATTGACCATTAAAATATTCCTAATTTAATGCTACAATTGTTATATTTTTTAGCTTCTATACGTCAAAATCTTATACAATATTCACTAATTATTAAAAAATCTAATTGGTTTTCTTAAATTCCATAATTATTGCATTGAATCTAAAGTCATTATATTTAACTTTCTAAAACTTAATCCTCATATTCTTCTATTCAATGTTATTCAATGCAAGTATTTAAAAATGTATTTTAATATTTTTTCCTTTACTTGTTATTCAGGACTATTAATATTAATAAAAGAGAAATTAAATAAAACTAATTATGATTGTAAACTGACTTGTAAGAATATAGGTCAATGGATTACAGTAGATACACGTTTCATTTATGAATAGGATTTTAATAAATTATAAGTATAATATTATACAGTATAATGTTAAATTTCTATCTATGTACTTTCTAATAAGTAAATATTTAAAACGAGAATTTTTAAATAGATTCATTCAAATATGCTTTTCAAAATGATAATTCACTTATACAAGAGCACTTAATATTCATTTGGATTTAATAAAGTAATTAAATATTAAAATGGGATTTAAGGACTGTGGTAAAATCTTTACCACAATAAATGCAATGCGGTAAAAATGGAATTATAATTGAGGAAATTAGATAGCAAACTTGAAAACATATTCTAAGGTTTACAATCAACAATGCTATAAGCCAAACCACTAACAAGCAATTACTAGATTATGTTGTGAAAAGAAAGTTTTCATATTTTGCAAATCACTAGTTTTCTTAGTAAGAAAATAATGTCAATTCACTTTAAAATACAGAATTTGGAAGTAAATCTTTGGAAATGGGAAATTCTAATTAGTTTGGGGATAGAAAAGAACTAAACGAATAGAATTTGGAGAATGAAAGGCTACTGGAATAATTTGAATTTTTAATAAGTGCTGTTCTTTATTCATTTGCAAATTTTTTTTGATGTAATGCTGTTTGAAGAAATGTTGGGAAAATGGTAGAGATATTGGATATACCATGTAGCCTTAAAGCAAATTTAGAATATTAGTTTTAGGTCTTCTTTATATTATTATCAACATTATAAGTTGATGTGAATTACAAGCCTGAGGCATTTTGAAATTTCTAAAATGTATTTTTAATGTGTTAGCAAACACCTAATTTATAAAATTTTAATTATAAATTCAAAGTTTATCTTTTTTATGAGAGTGCCGAGGATGTAAAATAATTTCCCTTTTTAAAACCGGCATTTTTGGGCTTACTGGGTGTAAATATTGTAACGACAATTGAAAGCAGTGATAATAGTTCAACGATTACATTTTAACAATCAACAAATAAAAATTAATAAACAATTAAACAAAACGCATAGATAAATGCAAGACCACAAACAAATTAGAAAACAACAAAATGTCAAAAAAGAAAACAACACAAAAAACAAAGTGTTGATAACAATATGAAGTTGTAAATGCTATAAAAGACCGTGTAAACTATTCAAATTACATCAAAATGGCAACAGAATACGAATTGAGCGATTATTTTGAAACGGTTTCAAAACTTGTTGATGATGCCGGTAAAATCCTAATTGAACGCAATAATGAACGTAAAATCTTTGTTTCAAAATCCGGTGATAGTGATTTATTAACGGAAACTGATCAAGAAATTGAAAGTTTTTTAAAAACGAAATTAAATAAAAAATATCCACACCATAAATTTATTTGTGAAGAAGAGTCTAGTTCGGTTAAATCATCATTAACAAATTCACCAACATGGATTATTGATCCAATTGATGGTACAATGAATTTTATTCATGGATTCCCACAATTTTGTATATCAATTGCATTAATGGTTAATAAAATCACTGAAATTGGAATTATTTATAATCCATTATTAAAACAGAAATTTATTGCTAGACGTGGTCATGGAGCATTCTATAATGATCAAAGAATTTATGTTAGCAATGAAAAAGATATAAAAAAAGCATTAATTACAAGCGGTTTCGGTACATCTAAAAATGAACAAAAATTGAATATTGTCAATGAGAATTTTTTAAAATTATCAAAAATTGTACATGGTATACGTTGTTTAGGTGCTGCAGCACTAAATATGGCTATGGTGGCAATGGGTGTTGCTGATGCTACTTATGAAATGGGTATACATATATGGGATATTGCTGCTGCTGATCTATTAATACGTGAAGCTGGTGGTGTTGTTATAGATACAAATGGTGGTGAATTAGATCTTATGTCAAGAAGAGTTTTAGCAGCAGCAACACCAGAATTAGCAAATGAAATTGTAAAACATTTAACACAATATTCACCATTTCCAAGAGATGATTAAATTCAATTGAGTAAAATTTTAACAAAAAATTATGGTATTTAAAAAATTCTTTATTAATTGGTTAATAATTTAAAGCTCAATAAAGTGCTGATTTATTAAAAAAAATTTTCTTAATAATTGTTTTTTGTTTTTTTTTGAATTAATTATAAATATTATTTATTTGCTTAAATCTTAATACGGGTGAAAATTTATTAATTTCAGAATTTACATTTCAAAAAAATCCTCCCACATAAATTAAAATTATTGAGTAGTTTATACCTCTACTTGGCGTTTCGTTGTATAAATACTGCTTACTGAGATTATTGCTGATCACGTTGCCTCTTTATGCATTTAAACAACAATTTTACGTAATTCAATTAAAAAATATTATAAAAAAAAATTTTATTCGGTAAACAAAATGCTATGAAAAATAAAGATTTTATTCAAAAGAGGAGGAGATTTTTTCTTCGTTGTTTTTAATAAAAAAAGGTTATTATCGCATTATTAATGATATGAAAAATCGGTAGAAGTTGTTTATGTTGTATGTAATTTATTTTGTGTTAAATTGCTACTTTACATATAATATGTATAGTGGAATTATGATATATGGCCAACATATTATGTGTAAGTAGACATAACGACACCAAAATTAAATGAAAAAATAATATTATTGGAACATGAAGATTAAAATATATTTGCTGCGTTATCGAAAATTAATATTTTGTAATTTTAATCATATTCATTTTTAAATATTTGCTTGTCTGACAATAAGTTGTGAATAAGATGAGCTTATATTTTAATAATTGTATACAAAATGATGGTGCAAAACACAAGTTTTATTGTATACTTTCATCATAAATTTTTGTATGTTCTAAACAAGATATTGGTAATGAGTTTGATAATGCAAAGAAATTTTGATATTTAGACAGCAAGCAGCACGTACGTTTGTTCAATTAATTTTATACTTACTGGCTTTGTAATTTGGCACAATAGCTTTAACAACAAAAAATTTTCCGTTAAATAACTATGATATGGCTATCAACTAGAATGCGCGTTTCCAAATTCTTAATAGCAGGTTATCAGTATTCAGAGGATTTTTATGTGCCAGATATAGATTACTTTTCGATTTTACTATAAGATCTAGTAGCTAATGGCAAATTTGTTTATTCAAATGTTAAATCAACTGTACATTTTTCCAATAGGTAAGTCGCAAAGCCATTAATTACATTAACATATCATGGTACATTTACGAGTAGTGAAATAAATAATTGAATCTATATGGAATATCTCATGTCAGGCAATATTAACGCCATGGTTTTATTTATTATTTCCTTTAATAATTTTAATATCGTTTACAAGTATTATGTTTCTATATTATAAAAATTAATTAAATTTTTTGCAAACACAATGTATTCTCAAGCTTGGATAATCCGGAACAAATGAATTACAATTTTTTTATGAAAATTTACGTATTTGTTCAAATACAGACGATCTTGCTGAAATATTCACGATTATAAAAATTATCTCGCATCAACTACACTACTGCAAAATCCTATAAATTTATTTATGATTAAATATTTAGATTAATATGAAATTTAATAAAATTTCTAATTTTCGTTTTAATTGGAAATAAATTTTAATATTCAGCAATTACTAATTCACATTATAATAATTTCTTCAATTAATATTTTGATGGTATTTAATTTATTCATATTCATACATAAGGAAATTATATGCACTTTCCAATGCAATTTTATACAACACAATTTATAGAATGTTACATACGAATATTAATATTCATATATACATATTTGAGGTGCATATAAAATGTATCATAACTATTATAAGTGTGTAACTATTCGAGTTTTAATAAAGAAATCGTAAAAATGGTAATAATTTGTGGTTAATATAAATCTTTTAAAATTTAAAAATGAGAAAGATTCAAGTTAATATTTTAATATTGTTTCTAAAGGGATAACGTTAACTAAGGTAAATTATAATAAGTATTGGTAATTTGCTAATAGAAATATCATAAATTATAACAAGTTATAGAGTAATTAAACACTTAAAGAAATTTAAAGTATTTATTGACAAATTATACCAAAATTATTTTAAATAATTTTTTCAAGTAGTTTTACAGTAAAATGAGGAAAGGTATAATTGACAGTGTCAACTCTATGCGGTACCGGTACGAATAAATTGTTTTAAATATCGTAGATAATTGACATACAATTTCATAAAACCTCTCGCTTTTGTGTCTATAGTGCAATTTCATACATATATGATAGTTACCATACAAACCTACAAACCCCAAGAGTTTCACTGAAAATTATGGCCACTTCATCAGCAATTTCGTTTGTTCAAAATTTCAGCTTTGTAGCTTCAATAGTTTCTGGACTATGAATTGTATGGTAGCTACCACAAGCAGTCGCGAAATTTCAACGAATTTTATCAAACACAAAAGCCCTAATAATATATTCACCTGTGCGAAAGTTTAATACCATACCTTCTGTAATATCGAGATGTAGCCAAATAAATTTTAAAATTTTGTGGCAATCACCTCAGCTATATAAAAAATATGGTAAACCTGGCTCAATTAGTTTTTGAATTATCGTTGGGACGGATGGACTGGCAGATACGGTCAAATCGACTCAGAATTCGACGCTGATCTTCAGTCTATATCTCAGGTAATTATTTTTCAGCTTTACAAACGGTAAGTTAAATTTAGTATATCCTTCGAACATTAGGTATATAAAAAATTTATTATTAAAAAGCGCAATATGCAAATATTAATGAAAAAGGTGCACATTTCAAAGAAAATACATGCAATTTTATTTAGATATGCTTATTTTTCTTATTTCCCGGAAATAGAATGGAAGCGTTACTATTCATTATACACTTTGGAACGTTCAACTAATTTTTCTTGTAACAAAAGCAATTTCTATAAAATATAATGCTTGTGCTATGACTGTGCACATACTTATATGTAAATAACACATAAACATAAATGAATTTTAAAATAGGAATAATAATATTATCTTCGAAAGAAATGAAATACGAGAGTAAATTTTTCAACAGCACATATTATCTTGAAATTGTACCAAAAATCAACATCACGTGACTTGGCTTAAAATAATGTTAAAAGGTATAGAATGCTATAAGGATGTAAGGTAAACAAAAAAGGTTAAGGAAAATAATATATTTATGCAACCTGATCATAGGACATTCTTATAACCGAAATAATTTTACTATTATTAGAAGAATTTTCACAAGAATTTTCATTAGGTATATCAAAGCATTCTAAGAGAGGAAAATTATCATCCTCTCAATTGACATTGAGTGAGAGTACACTTTGTTAGTTAATAAATTATTTATAATTAACTAATATATGGGAAAATAAATTTTGAAGGTAATTAACGAAAATATACAAGTTGTCGATTGTGAATTAATTATAAAAAATCTGATGTGGTCAGCACATAACCGAACGCAATATGTATTGTCTAGTTAAGTGAAAGTGTTACAGAATATTATAAAAACCAGAACTCAAATATCAAATTTCAAGAAAAATAATGTCAATATATTCCAAAAGTTCATCAATCCGTGCCATAGTCGAAATAAACTTGCATATAAAATTTCATCAAAACTGGTTCAGCCGAACTTGAGATACACGCGTGCACACACAGGCCGACAGGTTGCTAAAAATAGTTTATTTACACTTTCCTATCATGGAGAAATTCGTTCCCACCCAAAATTTGATATGCAAAATTTATTGCCATTACATAACATACCTATTGCTTACACAATACGGTCGGTAACAAAAGGAATAACTTGAAAATTATAATACTTGTTCCGGTATATAAGTTGATAATAATCTAAATTTAATAATATATTATGTTACATACACATCAACTAATTAAAACTAATTTCAAGTTAAATATTCTGAAACTTTGTACTGAAATACCCTGAATATGTTATGTTTATTTCCACAAATGGTAACTTAAACGAAAATTAAAGAATAAATGGTATTTTAAATTTTGAATTTATTTAAGAATTTTTATTAAATAATAAATAAAAGAATAACATTAGAAGTATGTGACTTGAATTTTATTGAAAATAACAAAGACTCCGTATAAAGAAGAAAAAAAATTAAAACTTACGTAGCGTCAAAGTACAGTAGTACGAGCAGTAAGGAAAAACATTCAATATTAAATTTTTTTTTAAAAACTAAAACCACATTTTAGTTGATCATATATAAATACTAAGTTTGAGTTACGACGTGCTATGTACATAATAATATCAAATAACACAATAAAATATGGTATCATGTGACGTGATTTTACTGATTGAATTTTATTCCTACACGTGCATACACGCATATACACTCTATCTACTATTAAAAATTTTATTAACGCATTCTTCTTATGTCGTCATTTTCTCTAAATTTTCAAAGTTTTTCAAAGTTTTCTAAAAATAGACCAAAATCACTTAGAGAACATATCCATAACTTATAAGATAAAGAAGAAGAAATATACTTTGAGGAATATTCGGTATACCTTCAACAGGATATTTATTTTCCTCCAAGGTTTATGAAATGTTTTGGTAAGATAGAAAAATACCTCGGATATAAGGATTTATTAAGTTTTTAGTCAATTCATTAAAGATGGTTATTTTTTGAACATGTCAATCAAAACTTGAAAGAAAAACAAACAAATAAATTTTAATGAAAATTTATTGCTTTACTTCGAAAAATTTAAAAAACTTTTGAAACAAAGTAATAGAATTATTAAATCATCCTTTCACATTTTACTCATCCATTATAAATTTGACAATTATTAATAAAATGGAGTGCATGAAAGTATTGCCCTTTCGACATTGCACAAATTTGTTTTTAATTAAATCAGAATTTTAAGAGAATTTTAGTCTTTAAATTTTTGATCCCAATACAAGAATTGTAGAATAGCACGTGCTACACTTCAAGATTAGAACGAGATTGAAGCTGTATTTATTACAGATTTATAACC